GTTCATATCTAAAAAAAAACAGTGTTTTCACGACTAACTGTCGACCACATAGATCTATCAACCACCTTTTCTTCTTCTCTACAGTATAAAATAACATGGTACACGAAAAAAGTAACGCATTAATCACCCTTGCCACCCCATTCAACAAAAACAAAACAACACTCAGAAAAACACCGACAACATCACTTACTTTTTCACCAAAAACACTAAAGTAAAAGTTAGCAATGGCTAGCAGGTTCGAATGTACAAAAACACGTTGTGTAATTACACAAGAGAAACACTAAACACGTGTTTATGAGTTAAAGGCTAGGCTCACGTTCCCTGTAATTCCTAGAGCGACATTATCACGTGCTAACGAAGGCTAATCTAGTTCTAGCAATTAGAGTAATGTAGCCTAAAAGACTAGACTTCTAGTACTCTCTTTGTTAAGCCTTAAATTAATTTCCAAAATATAAGAATATTTTAATTTTTTTCACAGTCCGTTTAACTAAGATGGATTAGGTATTCAAAATGAAGAGTATTTTCATAAATTTTAAACCCCTGTCCTAATAGGATTAATTAGTTTTTAGAACAATCTTATATTTTAAAACAGTTGTGTTGGCTTGTAATACTTTAATCACTGTTTTATACTCTGTTTCAAAGTTAACAAATAAAATTTTAAACTTTTTGAGTTATAAAAAGGACACTCTGTATATGTATAAAATATATATAATTTAAAAAATAAGCGACCAACCTGTATACGGAAACAATAATTACATACTATTATTTATTATCAAGAGAAAAATTATTTTAATAATTGGCACCGAGACAATAAATATCTAAATTATTATAAATCTCTAGAATAATAATTCTATTATTCTCATTTATATAATTTTTTATCTTATATACGAATACGAATTGGCGAAAACAATATGACGAGACGATCACAAAATCACAGGAGATTTTTCAATTCCAATCAAGCGAATTTTTCATACATTTTTTAAAAATTATTTTAAATGAAATACTCAAAATCAGTCGTGCGCGCGAAAATATATATATTTTTCTTAGTTTTCTATTGTTTATAGAACTTTCAACATCATTTGTACTATTTAAAATGAAATCTATTTTAACAAGAGAATGAATGACTACTCGATTATAATATTTTGCGTCAAAACCTCTGAGGGCAAGCGAATTATATAAATAACTGTGTCTAATATTGATTGATTACATTTAACATCGAATTTACACTGTCCATTTAAGCTCAAAATTGTAAACATGAATATATTTCGTATCTAGGTATTAAAATATATCTTCTAGGCCAATAAGATTCATTAAAAAACCTGTACACATCAAGAATATCAAAGAGAACAACAATATACACAACAATAGTTTTCCCTATAGTTTCACTACCACGAGTAAATATGTCCATCTTTGTAAATAAATTATTCTAGAAGTATCCCTAAATAAAATCAGTTCTTAAACAATAGAGAACTTGGAAACGAAACCCTAACGAATGTTGCACAATATCTATTAAACATACAAGAAATATTTATTTACAATAGTTTGAGTATCAAGAATATTTTCTTCAATAGATTTGCCTCCGACATAAAGCTGGTTACATAACAACCCTTACTTTAAAAGGTACTTCGATACTACGGTTAATTTGTGATCTACTTTATCTGTGATGTACAAGTAAAACGTTGTTTACTTGTGAAGCGGTTCACGCAGGACTCGGCACTTAATTAAAGGAACTTTCAGCTTAGGCGTAACTTTGCGCGTGCTCGAGAGGTAAGTTCGTCAGCTTGTTCCCCTTGTCCACCCAGTTCTTTAGCCTCCCTCGCAATTCCTCCAAGCTCTTGGACTTGGCCTTGTTTATCCTCTTGTACTTCACATCCTTCGGCTTGGTCACGTTCCGGTGGTTGGACATCACTCGGTTGTACGTCACCACGTGGTTGGATTTCGGCTCAGGCTCCTCGTCACTCTCAGCGTTCGAGGTGCCCTCGTCATCAGACTCGTTAGCCGGAGTCATCCTTTTTGGCACATAGCTGTACGACCATACCTCCTTACCATTCTTCGGTTTTAGCTCCTTGTCATTATCTATGCTCTTCACCTCAGCTGTAAGGACTACGCTCCTCATTCGAAAGTTATCCCGCCTTTGAGCGAGGAGACTCGTCTCTTTGTATTTCTCTTCATCAGTTTTGTTGGCATCGTTCAGTTCCTTCTCCGTGCTGTTCTGAGCACTTAAACCTTTAGTAGAATCTCCATCAGCTTCTTCTTCGACGCTGTATACTGTTTCCAGAATCTCTGGTCGTCGGAGGAAGCCATTTGATCGCCGCACTACATTGTACTTCAGGTTGGGATCTATGGCATCCGATATTGACCGGACAATGGTCACGCTGTCAGGGTTTGTCGACCTAAACCTTGGCACATGAGGAGTGTTACTGCTATCGAAGTCAACATCTTCCATGATCACAGCGGAGTCGGAGTCATTGAGTGAGTCGAAGTCTCCTGTGAGGTGGGTATCTTGTAGCATGTCTCTGAAGTCTGGAATGTTCTGAGATTCGATACCGTTATCTAAAAGCTTAGCTTGGAGAGATTCGATAACTTTCTGTTGCTTCATGATGATAGTCTCGCGTAGTGCGAGCATGCTGGAAATTTCCTTCTGCTTCCGAACGAGTCGCGATTCGAAGAGAAGAAGTTGGCTAGAGAGAGATTTGAGTTGTTCCGCCTTTTCTTTCTGAAGGCGTGTGACTAGTTCCTCTTGAGTTCGGTGCGCGCGGCGCCATGTTAGGAGCTGGTGAGCTTGAGCGCGATACTTCATGCGAAGATCTCTGTAACAGCAGAAGAAATATTATAGTCACGATGAGCTCGTTATTTTTCAATTACTCAGAAAGGACGAAATAAATCACTTTAATTCTACAAACTGCTATAGCATCTTGGTCTCAGACAATTCTATCTATTAAGCTGTCAGTTGGTATCCGTTATCCCCCAATCCCTACTTTATTACGACACCTATGCCCCGGGGGTACGGAGTTTATTCTTGTCGCGTGTTACCGAACAATTGGACCGTATCGATAGATAATATTGTTTTCTAAGTTATTTTCGCAGGAAACTTATACACTAGTTGGAAATAATATCGTAGTTATATGAGTTAGTAGAAATATTTGGAACAATTCTCCTTGATATTTCTGCTCACGTTATTTATAGTTTGAACTTGAATGGTCGCTCTGACTGGAGATTGATTTATTTCATATTACATTTTCTGTGTTCAACTTTTATAAATGTGTTGAATAGAAAATTTCATATTTACTACTAAAGAGATAAATTGTTTTTTTCAATACTGGTACCTAAATGAAAAATGTTTTTTAAAAATAAAGCTGGGAGGTATTACAAGACATCAAGACAACATCAGCCCCAAAAACTGTTTGTGGATGACACAAAACTAAACACTGTTCCAACAGCGTAGCCAGATCCCCAATCATTTAAATACGAAATGTGCTTTAGTGGTCAGTTACCTGATACTCCTGCGCGCCTCCTCCAAGGTGTGCGCCTCCAGAGGATCGGTAAGAGATGCCGCAAGCGATACGTCAGGCTCCGTTGGGCTGTTCAGAGCCGACTCACTCCGGCTGTGGACAAACTCCAGTCATTACTTACAATGTACTAAGTTATTACTAAGTGATGATAAAAAGGTATCCAATTTAACACTTCGAAGTCTTTTTATAGGATTACGCCTAAATAACTAAATGGTAAATTAACACCGTTAACGTCAACGACACTTGTTGTTGACCTTTTAAAAAGGAGTTTAAGCTCTTTTCTCACGGAGCCGCGGAGAACCTAACGAGTTACCGGGGCTCTGGCTCGAAGTGCAGGAGTAGGAACGGGGTGGTTTTTAGTCAGAAAGAGTCTGACACAGCCTCCTTTCCTCTGGGAGAAGTCATTTGATAATATTCCCCCCTTAAAAATAGATCTTTTTTTAAAGATTTGGAGGTACTTTCATCTATATAAATAAAAATGAATTTCCGTTCGTTAGTCTCGCTAAAACTCGAGAACGGCTGAACCGATTTGGCTAATTTTGGTCTTGAAATGTTCCTTAGAAGTCCAGGGAAAGTTTAAAAAGGGAGGAAAGTCAAATTTTAGGCCGTACGAAGTTTGCCGGACCAGCTAGTTTAGTAATAAGTATAGTCACATTGGCCACCCGCGTCTGATGATAAACTAAACGATTTCGCATAATTTATGAGCATTGCCAACTCAGTGTTTCTCATTCGATACAGTTTCTACTAAACACAATAACTAAGTTGCCAAGATAATTCGCCAGATATTTACAACAAAGTGTAACAAGATTTGACCCGTATCTATGAGATTACAAAGTTAAGCGCAACATTGTTTGGAAATAACTTAATCTGAATCCAATATGGACGTTTATTACTGATACTATGTTTCAATTCATTTGTAGTTATAACTCTTTCTAAAAAGTCAATGTTACGGTTCAAGAGATGAAGTGTTAAAGTTGCCTTGATTCAGTTTTTTGAGAAATGACCTATCAAAACAATGTTGCATTTTATAAAGTTGAACCGCAATCCAATTTACGGAGATCTGCGCGATCTATAAACCTCTAAAAATATTAAAATAAAAATGAAATTAAACAATATCAATCAAAAATCACAAGGTGACTACCACAATTCATTGCTGGGTCTCTTCTTCATAGGAGAGTTGGTCTAGTCTCCAGTCTCCACGCTTAGGAAGCGGATTACAGATCATACTTTAATCTTATCTTATACTAGTATACCTCTATAAAGCGGAAGAGTTTGTTTCTTTTTTGTTTGTTTGTTTGAACGCGCTAATCTCCGTAACTACAAGTCTGAATTGAATAATTCTTTTTGTGTTGGATAGGGCATTTATCGAGGATGGCTGTAGGCTATAAAACACCACGCTACGACCAATAGGAGCTGAGCAGAGCATGTGAAACCACGCGGACGTAGCTAGTAACAATATAATTATATTTTTCTTTAACCGATTAAGTCTTACCCAAATTCGACTAAACATCATAAACAACTAGTTTAATTTACATTCTATGAGTTGAAATCTACAGTCGACTGAGAATTTTAATTACTTTTAAAGGTCAGATGAAAGCCATCAAAGGCTTCATTTATCTGTATAAACTAAAACGATTAATATGGACAAACTATTGCTTTTCTCCTATAAATCAAATAACCTTTTTAGACCCAATTCGGTACACGCATTAGCATATTCATTGTACGTACCTACCCTTGTCATTAAGAGTAAAACAAACATTAAAAGTTGGACAAAAGCGAGAACTTCACACTTAACGTACATTACTGCTTAACTTTGTAACAAACGGCTCTGTTTCACATGATTCCCTTACAAAAGGGGAATTGGAACGAAATGTATTAGCTTTTACTGCAATTAGTTGGGGTTTTAATTGAGAAACTAGTTTGTGTTGGAGGCAAATGTTTGTGAATATGTTAATGGTGGAGAAAACATATTTTTTATGCCTTTTTATGTGATAGGGGCTAACGAGCTGACGGTGAATTGGATACTGGCAACACCTGAGGTGTTACAAGTAAGTTACCAACCTTTCATGCCACATAACATCACGCCTTTTATCCTCGAAGGGATAGGCAGATGTAGATATTAGCACATTTTTTTTAAAGAGTAACGAATGGAGTTTCTTACTCGTTCTTCTCCACTCGAATCGACATTTTGGAATGAACGCCTAGGTTCACTGACGGACAGACTGACAGACTATTATATATTTCATATTTGTTGACGTTTCAAAAGTACCAAATTATGGTTTAATTGAAATAAATGCTTTTGAGTTTGAGTTAGAGTTTGAGTTTATGCTTCTGTATAATGTAACACCCACTTTTCACTATTTATATTAGGAGTCCTATATAATAGGGAGTGAGCCTATTGCCATACCTTTTATGCCGATCTAAATATTCATACACATTATTATTTTGAATTTTTCAGTGAGTTTATTTTATAAGTTCGAAGAATCTGTAAAATATGTCGGAGGATGATATGGGCGATGTCAAGCGAGAGCCCTCTTCGTCATATATATCGGTAGAGGTATGTTTATGCAGTAATAAAACAATTAAATCTTCGTAAATAAAGTAACGTTTACTTTCGACAGTGCACTTTTACTTGTTCGCATTTTAAATAAGTCGGCATTTCCTACGGACTACTCTGAGAAGAAACGCCGAAACAAACTCAGAGGTCTCAGTCCCTTTCAAAGTTTACAAATGGTCAAAATACATCAAAGTTTAGTCCACTTACATTGTAATAATATTCACCGTTATAATCTCAAACAATATAATGTCAATGACAATTTCACAGCACTGATTCTGATGATTGCAATCATTATTCGGCCGACAGCATTCCCAGTGCGTCGTTGTTCGTTCGGAGTCCCAGCCAAAAGTGCCTGCTGTTCTGCGATGTTGAAAGTCACTCAATCTCCCCCACTCTTAGGCGGACATGACGTCACAATTAACTCTTGAAGCGCGCCATCTTTATTCATTTTGTTGTTATTCCTTCGTTTGTAGTAAATCGAAATCTCGTACTAATGACCGTTCCGACAAATATCAATAGTTTAACTATTTGTTGCAAACAAAACCTTATTGTAACAAAACTAGATAAAATAGCTGCACTGTTGACAAGTCTGCCTACTTTCGTTGATTTAACAGCAATCCTTATAATACCAACCTACGTTGTACAACGCGCAATAAATAAAACTAAATGATTTATTTCACTTTTTCAGGTAAGCATACTTGGGAGTTATAGCACACGCAATCGCATAATACTACAACTGATTCTAGAAGAATCTGTGATTTCTTTTAAATCACTTAATTTTCAACTTTAAGTCTTCGTTCATAGAGCCTAAAATACAATGATACAATATTTTATGTTGAACTGCTGTCATTTCTACCACAAAATATGAGTACTTCGTTTAATTAACTTCGTTTATTTAACACAATATGGCTGCGGTTCGTATGAAATATCAGTTTACATTTTGTCTACAGCATGCAGTAACATAATACATTCAGCTGTGACGTGGTATTTATTTATTTAATAATGAAAATGAATATTTATAAACAACTAGCTACTTGCGCGCGGTTTCGCACGCTCTGCTCAGCTCCTATTGGTCGTAGCGTGATGTTTCATAGCCTATAACCATCCTCGATAAATGCACTATCCAACACAAAAATAATTATTCAAATCAGACTTGTAGTTACGGAGATTAGCGCGTTCAAACAAACAAACAAAAAAACAAACTCTTCCGCTTTATACCTCTATAATAGTACGCGTAGGATTGCCGTATTTTTCTGTTTATTTTTATATTTTGAATGTATTTTTGTTTGTTTGCTCCGATTTTTCAGAGATGCAATAACCAAAAGGTGCAGATTACCCATAGGTTTATCCTCCGTAGGTTTTAAAGGGTATTGAGTTCAGAACCCAATCTACTGTCATATACTGGGCACAATTTCAAGACAACTGCTACTAAAACAAATTCTGAAATACAGTAAAAATCATTTGCCTAAGCAGAATTCGAAAATCAATCATAATTGCCTGAAAACACATAATATAACATCACGCCTTTTATCCTCGAAGGCAGGCAGAGGTGCACATTATGCCACTGTACCTACAATGTAACAACCACTTTTTACTATTTATGTTATGAGTCCCATGTAACAGGGGGTGAGCCTATTGCCATATACCCGGCACAATTCCAGACTCCGTCCTACTACTGAGAATTTTTTAAAAACCCAATAATTCTTTGCCCGACCCGGGAATCGAACCCGAGACCCCTTGCCAAGTCGCACTTGCGACCACTCGGCCAACGAGGCAGCGTGCCTGAAAACACGCGATTCAGAAAAATACTGAACAAAATTGTACCATGATACCTATGTAACATTTTATCAGTGGTCTTGCCTGTTGCAAACTGACAAAAGCAAATATTCGATTGACAAACATGAAACTGAAAAAGCCTTTGAAATCTGTTTCAGAGTGAAAATAAACACGTACTGTACATACAGTGACACATCGAACTGATTAACCACTATATCATGATCCTGCTTTGTTTAAACTTTGCGTACAATCGACGGTTAGTTTATACTGGTTGGTAATAGCTACATTACCACTTTATCATGGTCTCTCTTTACATGATCTATGCGTACTTTTGAAGGTCAGTTTATATTGGTTAAGTATAACTTGATGTGCAGGATGTTCCAATACACGGTGTTTACAATGCAAGAGGGAAAATACTGTGGTTTTCATTGCATTGCTACTGAAAAGAGCTTTTATTTTATTCAGTAAATTGGTTGTTTGCACTGTCTATTAATTAGTTGGATTATGGATATTGTGCTGGTTTTACATTGATATGAAAGGTTGCTGTAGCGATCTCAGACTTCATTATACTTAACACATTTTCCAGATTTATGAATCAGACCTGCTGTTATCTTGTATACTCGGAGGTCGCACTAACATTCGTTTTTTTTTGAGGTGGTAACATTAGCATTAGCATTTTCAAAAATTTTTTGACGCACGGAGTTTAGAACTCGAGTATTCGATAAAAGGGCTTGATGTATGAAATGTCACCTAAGTTCAA